CCCCTGCCCCCACCGCGCTCATCGTTCGTTTTGTGACGCCGAGGAAAAAGACTCTGTTTCTCGAAGCCTATTGAATAGAGATTGCGTTTTAAAGTCCTAAAAGTACCTCAATAAAATAAGAATCGCAGTCATTGCCCCCCCCCCCCCGCCGAAAATGTCTAAAACTGCCGTTTGGCCTGGAGCAGCCCTGATCTAGGTCTGAGTCTAGGAGAAGATGAGTGGTATAATAATCAATGTATATCTCTGTCTCATACTACAAATTTGAAAACTAAACCATAGGCGTGTACAGGGTGTAGGGTTACAGCTTAGGTTGACACGAGGGGTGTAAATATTCCGACCAAAATCGACCTGTTTTTGAGTCTTTTCTAAAAACTATTTCTTTACGAGTGATTCAGTCTGCTTCGTTTTTGTTGTGCCACTCTCTATGTTACATCCTACAGAAGACAAAAGGTACGTTTTTCTGTTTGCAAAGATTGCAACACAAACAAAACAATGAAATGGAATATAAATGTCACGATGTAAAAATAAAGAAAGAGGTGCTCTTAATTGGTAAATATTGAATGCGATACAAGGGAAAAGAGTGACGTGTAACAAGAGCAAACTGAAAATGCATCGAAAAATATAGATAGAGGTTGAAACCCTGCAAAACATAACTGAGAATGAAAACATAGAAGCAAACTGAAAAAGTATATAGAAATCAATAAAGGAGTGTATGACTGATCGGGGCCACAAGAAAAAGTGCATGTACTGGTTCCGTGGGTAGTGCAGAAGAGCTATTGAAACGAGGAACAAAGCAAGGATTTAGATGATAACTAGAAATACCCAAGAAAATAAAAGAAGATATGAAGGCCGCAGCAAAGAAACAAAAAAGATCTGCAGAGAAAAAAGAGGAAGAGATTGGAAGATGAAACACAAAATTTGGAGGAAATCTTCATCAATAAGGACATTAGAAATTTTCATCAAGAAGCAAAAAAATGTAAAATAATCAAAAAGGCTAAACCTTTATACTGCAGAGACAAAGAATGCATCTGGTGAGCGACACAGAAGGAAGTCCGAGCAGAAGGGTGGAACACTTTAGAGAAATCCTAGGGAACAAACAACAATGAGGAAACAGGCATGGCCGAATACAAACGAGAAGGAATAGAAGATCAGGAAGAAGGCCGGATACAAGCACCCACAGAAGAGGAAATGAAGAATGAAATAAACTACTTGAAGAACACTAAGAGCTCAGGAGGGAACGGAGTGGTAGCAGAATTGCTGAAGCTTGGAGGCGACACTGCAGAAAAAGTTTTACAAATTAATAGAAAGGATACGGGATGCTAAGCAAATGCCAAAAAACGGGTCACAAGCAATACTGTGCCCAATGCATAAGAAAGGAGACGTAACTAGATGCGAGAATTATCGAGGAATCGCATTGCAACTGGTAGCTTACAAAGTGTTCGGTAACTGCGTACGAAGAAAACTTAATAGGGGCTGCAGTGTGGGTTCCGGATAAGCAGATCTGCAAGCGACCAAACTTTTGTGATCAATTAGCTAATAGCAAATAGCTAACATTTTCCCTTGCTTGTGATTATCTCTGGCCGTTCTTTTTTCAAAGTCAAAATCAAAAATCCATCATTTAGGGATTATTATTAAAACAAAGAGAAGCAGAAACAAAAACAAGGAACACCTCGTGGTCATTGTTCTTTTCGTAATTAGTCATGGGCAAATACGCCTTATCGTACCCGAGAAGTGTTTTGTTTTTAATTTTTAAGGGAAGTATACCATCCGGGGGAGAGATCGGATTACGCGAACAACGCGTTAGGCCGAATGTAAAATTTCTCTTAGTAAAGCAATTTATTTTCTAAATTAGAGCAGTTTAACGATGGCCGTCTTATCTAACTTGTTTATACGAAGCACGTGCTGACCAAGCAATACCAAGAAAGGTGCGTAATCACCGTCGTTGTGGAATTTATTGAATAAAAGAAATCAGTAGATGATAAGGCGTAAATTTGAATGTATTTGTCATAAGTTGAGCTGCGACCGCGTTAGTGGGTGGATTTTTTCGATTTTAGATAATTTTCGCGTTATTAATTAACCGTGAATTTAACTATCAATATTGTGCTTGGATTCGGTAGAAAAAGGTATGAAACTTTTACTTTTTGGAAATTTGAGGCAAATATTCGGGTTGACGTGGTACCTAGGTAAACCTAGCAAGCAAATTGTTTCGCATATGTACCTTTACATATTTTTAATTCATAATTAACAGACGCGTAGCGAAATTTATTAGTTGTCTATTCGCTAAACGTTGATCTGGAAACACAAAGAAATATTTTCAAAGGAAAAATTGTATGCGAGGTTAGTTGCACATCCAGAATGGTTTTGTAATTAGAATTTCCAAAGTGTTTGCTACAATTTTCTATTAGTGCATATTCACGTCTTAAATGGCTGCTGATTGGATTTCAATAAATAATACTTTAGACATTACATTGCATTACACATGTTTTCTATGACTCAACTTTCACATTATTATGAGAAAACAAAATTTGCAACAAACCTAAAACTTTTTTGATTCTATTTTGACGTGAGTGCATACTTTTTTGTCACTCTGTGCAAGTACTTTACACCAAGATTATGAAACCAAAGTTCATAGTTTCCGATTGAGTGCAAAATACAAAATCTGATTCTTTTATAATTTAACATTTTTTAAAATGTACGGGAGAGGTGTAATTTCTATAGTACTTCACATAGTTTCTTTAATTTTTGTTGGCAATTCTGGAAATGCGAATAAAAATGTAACTGCTCTACTTTTGAAACAACTAATTTTTTGATTTTTTAGCTGTTTCTGTTTGCGCATTTTAAGCAAATTTGAAAAAAATGAGCTCCTTGTTCGTCTTTCCGCCGACCCTTTACGACCACGTACCATCGACGACCACCTCTTACGATGGCAGAGAAACCAAATAGTCCTACTACTTTCAAATTCCTTTTCGGAAGAGCTACGTCCCAAATTACCTACCCCAAAATTCTTAACCCTGAAGGAGATTATGAAAAAGCCGAGGAAAAAACATTCTGATCTCAAAGAAATCTGGTATCTTTGGGTCTTTAAATATTAAAACAACGAATATAAAAAATGTCAACTGTAATTCTTGTCACAACCAAAAAATCGTAAGATTTATTCCTATATGTAGCCGTTTATGCTAAAATCTGTTTTCGAGCGTTAGTAGCTAGTTTAAGAAAATATATACTAAATAATTGTTTATCGAGGCAATGATCGAACGCGGTTTTTGAATTTTCTTTGGTCGCGGCTTTTTACTAATTTCACTGCAGAACAACTCATTTTTACCATGCGGCGTGGATCACACCCCCTTAGACCGTCGTACTATAGTCGTTTGTTTTTTAATAATAACTACTATCCTACGCATATATTTCACCCACTTTGATCACCGTGTGAGTACTTTTTTGTTTTCGAATAATTACTACATTTAAGTTTAAACCTCGATTTCATCCCCTTAGAGTCCTTACACCGTCGTGCGAGCCCGGGGGGGGGGGCACATGACTAACTTTTAATGAGAAAGAGCGATATTAATTCGTAAAAAAACAAGAAACTACGTACGTACATTACCCAAGACAAAATTTTCAAGGCCTAAAAAAAGATAGTTTAACAATATTAAAAAAAATGTGACGTTTACATTTTTGAAATAAAAAAAAATTCTCTATCAAATGACAAAAAGAAAAAATTCATTTCATAAGAAAAAACAAAGTTGAGGATATTAAAAACATCTTGTAGAAGGAAAAAAGTGGCTAGAATGTCATTTATTGCAAAAAAATTTTTTCACAACTTCAGTAAAAAATAAAAACGAGTTTGCAAAATTCCGGATATCTCCGAAAGTAGTCCGAATTTTTTCAGTTTCAAAACTGCATTTTGTTAGACATCAACTTGCCAAAATTAAACTACCTTCATATCTGTTACAGATCCCGAGATCCCCATGGTGGCCCTCGAATGTGAATCAGCCTGTATAAGAAAGAGCTTTACAGATTTTTATTTTATGCCCGTGTATATAATAATTTAGAGGTACTTTTAGCAGAGCGGTGCAGCAGCCGCGCTCGGGAAATCGTACCTTCTAGCGTGTCTACCGAGACCTTAGCAACATCACGCGACCAATTTTTTTTGGTTTCTTATGGCATCAACTTTTTCAATCAAAAATTTCATCTTTGTAGAAATAAGTTCAATAGAATAATTTTACGTGGGTGGTAGACTGGTGATAGCAACGCTTCCAGCTCTGTAGACTATTACCATACTACCGACGCGGTAGACTGCCGTTTTGTTTACTTGTACTATCAAAACAATAAAATGGCAGAATATCAGCCTTATAGAAATGAGTGCATAAAAAATGTCGCTGCCTCTCCGACTAAATGTTTGCTTCAAGATTTACCTTTAGTAGTGATTTGTGATCTGTCTTAACTAAAAATTGATGTCTCACCAGGTGAAATGGGCAAATTTGTGTGATCTCTATGACCTAAATTACAATGTAATATGTTCAATCTTTGGGGTAGTAATGCACAAAGGATTAATTACACAATTTCCTTCATTGAAAAAGTGGCGTATAAAATTTGTTGCTTGGGCTTTAAAAAAATGGAGTGAACACTTGTGGTCCCTCAAGCGAAACACCATAAACAGTTTTAGTGGTATTTGGTGTTTGTTGCAATGTTTTACTATTACGCTGGAAGATTAAAAATCCTGCGTTAATGGCGTAATTTCGACTGGTACCAATCGAGATTAACAGTAAAGATATTAAAGGGATCAATTTCGCTCTAAATGTTCTTATGAGATTGGAATTTTTATGCCGTTCAAGTGAGCGCATATATTGATCTTTAATGGTGCATGTGAAGAAAGCTTTGTTTTTTATGTTGCGTATCGGCAGATAGCTCTGCTCGAATACTAAACCGTTTAACGTATTTTATTATGGGGACGGTAGTAAAATTGTCCTTGGCAGTTACCTAAACTTTGATATAAAACTGACAAACGAACTTATATGTCAACAGAAACACTTTTAGTGTTACTGTGGCAGGTGTCCTCCTGCAGTTGTGTGAACGTTACAAGTCTGGATCGGGTGTCATTCAATTAGTATTGGTTGCTGGGAAAATCATCTACAAAAAGACCAGAACACATCACATCTTCAATCTTCGAAAAAGACAATTCTGTTTTCTTCAAAAAGTGGTACTTTCATTCGTTGCAGGTGAGTAGATAACCTTTATTTTTCGGCTTTTGAGATTGCGATATTCCATCGTATCAAAAAGTAATTTTGGGATCGGCGGTCATATTCAGAAGCTTCTTTAGTATTTAAGAGCAGATCATTCGTGACTTATTTGTTTTCAAGATGTTATTTTCTCCGCCATTTTGCCAGTTCCGAGAACGAAAAAATTTTTTTGTTAAATTTTTTTTTCTTCGGGCATAATTATGTCTCTCTTTTCTTTGTACGTTGCCAAAAATTAACAAAAATTGGTGTAGCCACGCAATGTTTTGCTCAGTTTCATAAAAGAAACGTGAAAAGAAAATTAAAGTTGGCGTTTGGGAATGGGATTGGTTCCGATGCAAAAGTATTAAAGTTTTTCGATTTTTAAAACGGTCCAAAGTATTTCGTTTGGCAGTTACCGACGCAGCTACGTTTCAAAAAGTATCACATTTGCGTGTCTTGTAGTTTTTTTCAAGCAACCATAATACATCGGAGGCATTGATTTGTTAGATTCGTAATTTAATTCTTGGGAATTAAATTTAAATAATTTTAAAAAAAATGCTATGCAGAAGGAAAGTTAGGTTAGAACAATTTGATAAGTAATAGCGGGGAAGGTGCAAATATGAATTAAACTATTCTCTAAATGAATTGTGAATTTCAATAAAGTACTAGATCGGTACGGAACTCGCTTTTCGCTCGTTCCGGCCGATCACGGCGTTTAATTAACAATCGCCGTTTTGTGTGGTTCACCGTTTGTCAATTTTTTGTTTTTTGCTTGATTGTTTTGATAATGTAGTTTGAACCGTGTTCTGTGTGGTTAGAATATTGTAAAAGGCGAAAAAAGCAGAAAGAAACTTGATACGGCTCAAAATGAACTAATATATTGATACTCTCTTTTTTAGTCAATCTCATCCTATAGGTTGGTAAAAATGCTTTGCATTTTAAATCTCCGCTAGAGTGAGTTTATTTCTCACAAATACCGCCGAAAATAAGAATGTTGCGTTTTGCGCACAACACGACTTTTTGCGTATGCGTTTTATTTGCTTTTATTTGATGGACTTACCATCCATTTCGCTCAAATTGCTTCATAAATAAGACAGTTGCGCTCTCCGCATGCGCAATACGAGTTTTGAAAAGCGCATTTCATTTGTTTTTGTTAGGACCCACAGAGTTGTACTCGTATATAGTAAATAGAGGAGCTGTACACAGGACCTGCGCGTTGCAAAATTAACTCCAACTACAGTGGTCACATACTTATATAGTTTTAAACGGCTAAGGCGTTGTGGCGCATTCGCGGTGCGTGAAATGCGTTTGTTTTGCTCGCACCTACGTTGTTTATTGGTCACTATATCTCCATCCGGTTAGTGCGCACCCTCGTCAACGGCCTGCGCAAGATCCAATTGGAGTGAATTTTATGCAACAACACTGTCTCTCTATTTATTATATACAACTCTGTGGAAGGACCTAACACCAAAGTTTCGTGCAAATTGCTCCGTAAATAAGTAAGTTGCGTTCTGCGCAACATACATGAAACCCTAATTTAGATGCTAAACAGTTTCACGCTTATATACAACCGTTCACACATTGCACGGCTTCGCTCCGCACATTGACACACAAAAGAAGACATCGCTCGACTTCGGCGGCTGCGCCGCCTCGCCTCACGCATGTACCCAAGTTGCCGTGGAATCTAAAATATGAACGAACACTTTAGGAGACCAATGTAAAAAATTTGCTGTGGCCAGCACAGATAACACCCGCACACCTGCACATGCGCGTTTCTGCCCGAAATCTTTTCAGATTTTCCTTTTAGGTCTAGGAATATGTGTACCAAATTTGTTTGAGTACAGACCGACCTCCAATGCAATACCTTCCTTACCAACGTAAATGTGCGGGTTGTGTCAAAGTGTCTATATACACATCTACAAAATTTGGGACAATTCGACGCAAAAGTTTCGCCATAATATTAATTTAACATTTTTGACACCTTACGCATGCGTGATTATGCCCAAAACCTTTTCAGCTCTTCCTCTTATGTCTGAGAATATGTGTATCAAATTTGGTTCCAATCGATTAAGCCGTTTCATCGGAAATGAGAGTACAGACGGACCGACAGACCGACATCATAGAGATTTTGTTTGATTCGGATACCTGGTGCTTCAAAACGTGTATTTTCGTAAAAAAAGTTGGGGGTCATTTTTTACCACAGTGCAATAACTCCCTTACTAACGTGCGGGTGGTAAAGACCGTATCGTCCTAACCCTCGGCGTCTCCCAATAAACGCCAAAATATGAACAAACTGGCTTCTGTATGCAATTGGGGGGCATAACACCCTAATGTAAATGGCACCCAGTCTCACGTTTGTATAGAACCGTTAACACATTGCTCGGCTTCGCCTTGCACATTAACACACAAATGATGATGTCACCGTTGGATTCTACAATATGGAATATTTTGGTTCTAGGTAAACTACTTTTTCCGTTCACATTACGCCAAAGTGTTATTAAGAAAAGTTGTTCAGAATGAAAAGTTATAGCGTTATGCAATCAATCAATTTTCAAAATGGTTGGCCATACTTTGATAAAATCCAGTATTGGTCAGTTTTTTGTGTGTACTGCATTTTATCAAAGTACGCCGATCATTCTGAAAATTTGCATAACGCCATAACCATATTCCCTTTGTCGGTATCCACTTCCGATGTCCAGTTCCCTTCCAATGCGCGTTTGAAGATTTGGATCTACCAACAGTAAGATCGTGTCGGGGGCTACCATATTCCCTTTGACGGTACCCACTTCCGATGTTCTGTTCACCCACAATTCGCGTTTGATGATTTGACTCCACCATCAGGAAGCTCGTGTCGGAGGCTATCACATTTCCTTTTTCGGTACATCTACTTATACTTATATTACACCCACATTTTGGTGGATTTCACTAAAAACCTTCCACAAGATAGTACTTAATTTTTGGGGTCACTTTTCGCCATAGGTATTGCAGTGGTATTTTAATTATGTGGAAATGTTGGCTTCCCTTTATGTATTTTATGTTTGTTGTAGAGAATGAATTCTGCATCTTTCCTGTCATTATTTCTAATTTTGCATGTCGGCAATGCGTACAAAAATCGGGATTTAAAATTTCATTGGCACAATTTGTTGTTCGTTAGGTAGGCCCGAACAAAATTGCGTGTAAATCGCTCCATAAATAAGAAAGTTGCGTTTTGCGCAGGCGCAGTGCGAATTTTGAAAAGTGCATTTTATTTGCTTTTGCTAGAGGGACCTAAAACCAAAATTGCGTGTAAATCGTTCCGTAAATAAGAAAGTTGCGTTTTGCGCAGGCGCAGTGCGAATTTTGAAAACTGCATTTTATTTGCTTTTGCTAGAGGGACCTAAAACCAAAATTGCGTGTAAATCGTTCCGTAAATAAGAAAGTTGCGTTTTGCGCAGGCGCAGTGCGAATTTGAAAACTGCATTTTATTTGCTTTTGCTAGAGGGACCTAAAACCAAAATTGCGTGTAAATCGTTCCGTAAATAAGAAAGTTGCGTTTTGCGCAGGCGCAGTGCGAATTTTTGAAAACTGCATTTTATTTGCTTTTGCTAGAGGGACCTAAAACCAAAATTGCGTGTAAATCGTTCCGTAAAATAAGAAAGTTGCGTTTTGCGCAGGCGCAGTGCGAATTTTGAAAACTGCATTTTATTTGCTTTTGCTAGAGGGACCTAAAACCAAAATTGCGTGTAAATTGTTCCGTAAATAAGAAAGTTGCGTTTTGCGCAGGCGCAGTGCGAATTTTGAAAAGTGCATTTTATTTGCTTTTGCTAGAGGGACCTAAAACCAAAATTGCGTGTAAATCGTTCCGTAAATAAGAAAGTTGCGTTTTGCGCAGGCGCAGTGCGAATTTTGAAAAGTGCATTTTATTTGCTTTTGCTAGAGGGACCTAAAACCAAAATTGCGTGTAAATCGTTCCGTAAATAAGAAAGTTGCGTTTTGCGCAGGCGCAGTGGGAATTTGGGAAAAGTGCATTTTAATTACCTGTGTTAGAGGGACCTAACACCAAAGTTTCGTGCAAATCGCTCTGTAAATAAGGAAGTTGCGTTTTGTACGTTATACGAGACCGTGCTGCCATCGTCCCGTCCCGGCCGAAATCGTAATCGCCGGTGGCCGGGCGTCCAAAAGCGTTTCGATTCGCGAAGACGCTAATACCGACGGTCGGGCGGCGCGCGACGCTCACGCGCAACGTCTTCGGCGATTGAGAAATTATTTTTCGTAATATAATTCTCTAAAAAAAAATTATTCCGACGCCGAGAAGCGAACGGCAAACTCGAACCGCAACTGACGTATGGGAGGTAAACTCGGATTCAGACGAGTGCACTTTTGACCCCCTAAAAGTGAATAGCGTTTTCCCGTAATTTCGGGACGGCGAGAGGACCGGACGGCCCTTCTAATTCGCCAATCTAAAAAAATTCCTGCGTTTCCTTCGCCCGCAAACCCACCGTAAAGTCCGCGAACGGGAAAATCTTTTCGGTGCCCTCCCCCGCGAACGGGGGGCCCGGGGACCGCCGTTCGGCACTCGAACGAAGGGCCGGTCCCTCCCGAGTCCCGAGCCGGAGCGGCGCGCGCGTTGCGCCGCGCCTTCCCCCCCTTCGCGAATTTAACGTGGACCCCTTGCGAAACGCGAAAATTTCGGGGGGGCGGAGGGGGGGGAAGGCCTAAAGTTCGAGGGCCGCCGCCGCCCGGGCCGCTATCGCGGCCCGGAGCCGCGGCCGCCACAAAATTTTTGGGAAATTTCATCAGGCCGTTTTGTAGAAATTCGACAAAATCGAGTTAACGGGTTGTTTTCTTTTTCTTATTTTATATAATAAATTAATTCCTGGTTGAGCGGGATTTGCCAAGGCATATTTCAAGAAGAGTACATAAATGTTTCTAGTTTTTTAATGTTTGCATTAAAGTGCTGCTAGAGATATTATGTTATCCCAACCTGCTACCAGCAAATTTCGAGTGATTCTGGTACTTCAGTAGCAATAATTTCCTTCAGATAGGCATTATTTATTTCAGCACATAAATCTATTATTTTATAAGTTACTAGCTGCCCGACCCAGCTTCGCACGGGTGTTTATAATTTTCGTATTCGTACTTACATGTTGGGATGAATGTGTATGATGTTGGTTACAGAAAAAATAATACCTTAAAATTTGGATTGAAACCCCTTTCACGAATTATATTTGCACCAAAAAATGATGTCATTTGGAATACACATCAGTTTAAATAACTGTTGAATATTCTGCAAGAAATGCTTCGATAGAGGGTTTTGTCCTGAAAGATGTAATGAATTCAGTGGGTTCAGGTGGCGTTGTAAGTTGCGGTAATTTGACCTATCTACTGGCACAATATAATCCTGCTGGTTCTAGTCGAAACCTCAAAAGCGGAAGGAATTCTGTGGAGTATTGGACTCGATCATCAACTTTTTGAAGATACTTGGGTTTACATTAGAACCTAGAACTGCCGTTTTCTTGTTCCCAAAAAATACTTTCTCATTGCCCCTTTTTGAGCAACGTTGGAAGATTCTTAATACAACGTTTTGTTTCGGAGAAATTATCACAAACTATACTTTTTTAAATGGCCCGTGGAGAACGTACACACTGTATTTAGTAGCACTTTTTATTACGAATACAACTATGTAGGTACGCCACACAAATAAAAAAAAGTTGGAAATTGTTGGTTTCAACAGGACGGTGCATCTACGCACATCTTAATCGTGCAAGTATACGTATCTAACATTTTTTCTATTTTCCAGGAATTAATAGGTATGCTCGCAAAGTGTGCGCGGGTGCTGTCTTGTAGAGTATAAAAAGTGTCAATGAGAAAGTGTCTTTTGTCTTTCTTGTTGTATATGTTCAAATAACACCAGCAAAAAATAAAAATAAAATCGGCAAGTTTCGGTTCGGAAGTAATCGGATTTTTTTTGTTTTCTCTAAAGCACGATAATAATGGTTTAATTGCACATCTTTTCTCTAATTTGACCATAATCGTAGCTTCTACAGTTTCGATCTCCATGATAGACATCCTTATCTTGGACACTCTTTCCAAGCGAGAGAAAGCCCGTACTTAAATTACTTCTTAAACCTTTGGTAAATTTAATCCCCTTATGGCTTAATTGTATGTTGGGTCGTCCTCAGAGGCACAGGTTAGAATGAAACCTTGTCCTTTTTATAAATAGAATTTGCGGACATGGCTATTCTTTGCTTTCATTTTTAAGAAAAGAGTTTCCTATTTGCTTGCCTTAGAGCGTAGAGAAATAAGTGGACAGACAGGCGGACTGATGATGATCATTGAAATCGTAATAGAAAACAAACTACTAAATCCACCTTTCAATCTAAAACATTTTTTAATTAATATCACCGTATTTGTGAGTTCTTATGGATAGTTAACAAATCAATTTTGAACAAATGCTCGGCGAACTTCACGTCAATTTGACAAGTAAAAGCTGAAAAATTATAATGTGATCAAAAAACAAGGTCGCTACGATTCTTTAAAGGGAATGGGGAATTATTCGGAAAAAAATTAACAAAAGGGCAACAACCAAAAAATCAAAAACTGAATAGCTTAACTGCAGAGGTTAACAATGATTTCGAAACAACTAAAAATTACTGTTTAAAACAGAGTTAGTTATTTACACCGTAAAAGTGGGACACCCTCTACATTCAAAAATAATTTCTATAGATGTGCAACCATATAGTTCACATTTTCACAAAAGGTTTTTAGCGTATATTCCTCAAAAGTGAAAATTTATCTTCGCAAAAAAGTAGTAGTTATTTATTATACAAGACTATAAAGGGGTGTTTCTCCCTTTATTGTCGTGTATAATATAATACTATTTTATAGCAGAATCCATAGAAACCATTATAAAACTTCAGAAAATTTTGTTATTTAATTTAATTTAGACATCCAAAATAGCAAGCTTAGATTTCCATGGAAACAATAATATTTTCTAGTCCGAACTTTATTTTATTTCGTGCTCCACGTCTCATTTTTAATAAAAATGACTGATGTAATTGGAATGCACAATGATGTGTTACACTTTATGTACCCTTGCGGTTAAAGTGATCACTTTTATCTACCCTTACCGTTTAAGAGACTCATTCAAATCTATGAAAATGGTTTCAAAATGTGATTTTGCGCATCCGCAGTGTCAGAAATTTGGTTTAACTCGTGTACAAATGCTAACTTCTTTTTTTATGAAGATATTTAAATGAAACGGCGAATCACTGCGAATATAAGTAAAATTAAAGATATTTTAGTATTGTTTTGCGCATGCCAATTTCCTTATTAAAAATATGTATAGGCACTTGGAATAAACGTAAAACGAATACCAGTTTCAAAATTTGATCAATACCAACTTTCTTAATTATGAAGCATTTAAATGATCATATGTACTCGTATATACACTGGGAATAAAAGTAAAACTAATACCGGTTTCAAAATCACTTTTTACGCATGCGCAATGGCAAATTTCTTTATATTTGTGTACTCTCCACTATTTAGGTACTTACAAGAACGACCGTGTTTTTTTTAAAAAGGAGAATTTTTATTAAAGTATCCCCTCTGGGAGTACGTAGTAAAATAAGTTTTATTATATATACATTGACAATGTATTTGTTGATACTCTACTATATGAAAAACTGAGACTTCGACAATAGGCGGTTCATTTGAAAGAGAATGCGGTAATGGTCTCGTGCTTACCTGTATTTTTTCTGGGTTCTAGGAGGAAAATACTTCTTGTATAGTGACTAGGAACCAATTGCCATTACCGGCGCCAACTATCTTGGTGTGGAACAAACGTGGTATACTCATGGGGTTCAATTTTTCTACTGAGCATATTTAATATGTATGTAAGGTGTTCAAAGTGGAAGTGGACACTAATCCACTATTGCGAACTAGTTATGGCTCGATTACGCCTGATGGATCCAATTTTCTTTTATTAAATGCTCTTTTCTTAAATAAGGGCGGTTAATAGTATAATATTGAGATTCAGATTAGATCTGTTTGTGGCGGTGTTTGTCATTCAGCAAGATACATTTAATTTGGATTTGCGAAATAACCAACAGGAACTCAGTTGGTGCCGTTGAAAAGTTCATAAATATTGATTGAATTAGAATTTTTGGGATTGGCCAAATGTAAGCAAAACGTCGAAAGCGTCAGGACTATTACTGAAAGTGTTTGGGGGTAATTATTCTTTATTAAAGAAGAGAATAATCAATTTCTTTTCTGTTCAGGGTTTAGTAGGATATTTATTTCCGAGCTAATCTGGGGATCTTCATTCTTCAATCGACCTGTCTTGTTATACGCTGTTTTAATTTCCCATTCAAATTTCCCACACTTTTAGTGAAGTCTAAAACCGGACTAAAACTGCAAAAATTTTTTGGGAAAAACATGCCGATGTGCTTTTCTGTTTCTTCCAGATGCAGTGCTTTTAGAATAGTACATTCGCGTCCTAAGCAATACCGAAAGAGCTTTCATTATGCGGTGCAGCTTTCACGATTAAAGTTCGTATTGGATCTCTTTCTTTCAACATTCAGTTAAAAAAAATTTCTCTTTCTTTTCAACTTGACGAATGTGCGTTATGTTATATAAAATATGCTGGGAAGCGTATAATTGGCGAAAGCGGGAGATTAAGCACAGAAAAACAGGTGGAAATAACTACCCTTAAAAGCGGTCGTATCATTGACACAATTTGATAACATTGGTCGCGATAGTATCGATCTGTAGAAATCGTTAGCTTTTTGGAAGTTACTGCAGTGTTCCAAACCTTGACTCTTTTGCAAAATGGGTCAACGTATGCATTATTTTCGTTTTACTTGGTGGCGTAGTTATGAAAATCGAAACAGGAAACGGATTATGAGTTAATTGGCCGTTACGCTTCCCCAACCTTGTGTATTTGACTTCGCGTATATTGAGAGAGTTTAATTGATCTGGTTAATGTAAAGTCGTATACGATTGTTTACGGATTTCGGCCGCGGAATGACGCAAATATAATACTTTTTGTATACTAAACCAGTTCAGCACCATCCATTGTAAGTAAAGTCTTAGAAGAACGATGACTGTCAACTACTATTATAGTAATAATTATTTATAGTCGCTACCTTTGAATATAGACTACGTCGCTACTACATGGATTTATTTATTTTCTACGCCTATATTTTTATAAGATCGATATTCGCGAATCTTTACAATGTAAGGTCAGCGTACTCGTTTTCGGGTTTTTGCATTGTGTGGCATGGCACGACGTGGAGAACGGCTAAATGCCAACGTATAATTTTATACTTTAATAGTAAAATAGTACAAACTTCTCGTGGACCAGGATATAACCGACTAACGGATAAGCGTATAGTCGCATTTACACATTCTTTTTGTACTTTAACATGTTTAGAGAATGGATTCAATAATTAACTTTTGTTTCAGATGATGTCCGATGACGGTACAGAAGAATTGAAGCAAGTTTCTTCGTCCCTCCTATAATTACCATGTTCAGATTGATGAAAGGACGTCTTAATACCTGTTCATTGCGGTGTGGTCTTCCGTGGCATAATTTTGGAACGTACCTTGTTCGGGCCTCCGATAAAAGGCCCATGTTTGACTATCATCGCCACTAATGGCCACGGCCGGTTTCTTCGCAGCCCTACAGCGGCGCTACTTCTGGTATTCGTACTGCATTCGCAAACCAAAGGGCGCTGGCTGTAGTTGGATAGTATTAGGTTGGGCTATACTAATTATCTTCTTCGGATTAACTACGGGTATTGTTGGACAAAAACGGTTTCGGCAGGATACGAAATTGGAGAATGATCACGAGGTAGAAGAAAAAAGTAAGTGATCTTATACATTATACCTTTTGACTTGAGTCAATCCCCTAATTTACTTTCTCGTATTGAAATATTTTTAAATGCTCGGTTCGGGTCCGGACACGTTGTTCCTCCTACTCATGGGGGATCCTATAAGTTTTTCGACGTGATGAGACTTACTTGGCATTCCAGTATTACACCGATTAAAAGTAAGCAATTGTTCTATGATTGTGGCAATTAGAAAGCTGGGATTGAAATATTTTTTGAGGCGTTTTAGTGTGTCGACGAGTTTTTTTTTTCCATAAAAATGTAAATAATGCCGGCTCGTGTGGCGCAGTTGAGTTGAAGCTTGACTGCGCTACTAAGGGCCCCTGGTTCGAATCCGGATTCGAGCATGGTATTTGCAAATGTACAATGGATTGGGTTGGTAGAGCACCCCTTGGCTGAAAACTCGCCCGCTCAAAAATAAAGACCAAATAAAATAACATCAGTTCAATTGTACGCGGACCACTCTCCAAAGAGCATCTTGATTTGAATCAGTAACTTAGGACCGTCGTTATTAAATTTAGATTTTTGTTCAAGGCACGCTTGTCCAGAAATCGGTTTATTTAACCCTCAAAGGTTCTTTGAAAAAAAATAGTAGTAATAATAATTTTTGATGTGATAAGGTTAGTTTTGCAACAGTGTAGCTGTGAGCTTAATTAATTTATTGAGTTGTGAAGAATATCATATTGTTATGACATGGAGTTGTTCGTCGTAACACGTAGGAATGGTCCATTTTCTAAGAGTGTTGGTTTTCGGTGTAGGAAATCAGAAAGTTAGTGTATTACGAGACTGATAACTAGGGATATTAAATCGTAACTCGCTGTGAAACTGTTTGTTTTCTAACTATACTTTAACCTCCCACCGGCCAACGTGATCTTAAAACGCAATCCACCCTATAAATCTCTAATGGAACAACTTTGCCTTAAAAGAGTCGTGTGGGGTTTCTAATAAATTTCTAATAAAAAACCAAATACAATTTCTTATACTACCTCAACTTTACCCTCGACAAAAGCCAAAAGGTATTCCACGCAACTGTGTAACCTTTTCCTTGATTTTTTACTAAATTACGCTGGGTGCGGTTTCTAATAGAACTCGATCGAAAATGTGCGAAAAAACCTTTAATCTACTCTACATTAATCAATCATAAAACACAATCTACCCCATTCCCTAATGAAACAAATTTGCCTTGATAGGGGCCATCTTTTACGTTACGCGCGGTTTCTAATAAATCGACTTTTCGACAAAAACGCAAATAGATACGTCCCTTAATCGACTCTGCTCTTAATCGTAAAAGGCAATCTACCCCTAATCGTGTAACTTTGACATTCATTTACAAAGTTTTGTGTGGTTTTCCATAATTATAAGAGGGGCAGAAGGGTGAAAATGCGCCCGTCGCTGCAGAGTCGAAATTTTCGAATTTCATTTTCATTTTTGATACTTTCTCTAATTAGCAACTATTAAATGTAAGTTGGCACCCCTGAGTCGGCCCCCCAATTTGCTACATTTCCAAAATTGTGTACCGATTTGTGCGCCAATCCACAAATTTTGTGCGTTTTAGATTCGCCTTCCCTTAGACGATGTTCAGGTTCATTTCTCGATTCTTTTTAAAAACTGGCGCCCGTAATTGTTGTTAATTTTGGGCTTCCCATCCTTTGTAAACTTTTCGACACAGTAACGACCAAAATTGTTCGATTGGCCGAACTTTTGGAACAATTGGTGAGTTATCTTTAATCCGTCGTAATTGACGTTATTCTGTTCCAATCATTCGCGAGTTCTCCTGCTACTGCTACCTTTCATTTCTGAACGCGATAGCTCAAAATATTCTTAACCATCAATGCAACATCCAGGAATTCTTTCGAGTTGTGCCCGAGTGTATTTGGGATACTTCCTTCTTTTTTGAAAATGCACGCCATTTCTGGACAAAGTCTACGGTTTTGTACGACACTTTAAAACGACCACCTAGCTTTCAACTAGAAATTTCAATTCCGTCTTGAGCGCTTTCTACCAGTTTTTTAAACGCTGTTTTGTGGTAAAAAGTGAGGTCTTCCAGGTTTCGCCAAATTAATGCATCGTCACATTCTCGTAACATTTTGATCTCAAAACAAGTTCACGATTTCACTTTAAGGTAAACGTCCAACTAAGCTATAAATATTCTTGCGAATTTCAAGTTTGTACGATATTTTGAACTTACTGATTGAAACAATTTGACGTTTCTTGCACTTTTTGTGTACCTGCATGGTAACTAAACAAGAGATCAAAATCGAGCAAACTTTTTCTCAAAACTGATGTTCCATACGTTACTATAGTTTTGTACTGGTTTTGTGCGCTAATACTAAGGTTTTGTGTGCCTTTCGTTTCGGAGTACCCCTTACAATCGGATCTACTTGAAGCCTATGTCATACTTTTGTGCATATTTTGTGTTGATTTCTGCGCCAATTCTCCAGTTTTGTGCGCCTTTCGTTTCGGGGAAAGTCGAAATTATCTGTTGGTGATCCAACTAGTGCAAAATACTTCCGTAATGAAGATATAAATGGATGGAATGCTGTATAATACGTCAAGGCAATGAGAAATCGGGTACAAATAATAAAATAAAGAATTGGAATAAGTAAGGTTACGTGTTTGGAGGTTAAGGCAATCAATAATTGAAAACAAAAGTGAAGTTGGAGTTGGTGTGGGGATTATTGATGAGCACAAAACCATTACATAGGGTTCAAAGTATTCCGAGAATAGACATGAGGGATGCTGCATTAAGATGGCACCTCTTGTAGACATTTTAAAGTTCTCCAACACGGAAGGCGCATAGTATTGGCACACAAATCAGCACAAAACAATGTTGTTTGTGTCATGTAGATACGAGCAAGAGTGTGTAGCATTAAGGTGGACCCCCAACTGAATATCTTGATTTTCTCTGAAACGGAAGGCGCCCAAATCAGAACAAAATAGGCACAATGACAGGTTTCAAGTCACTTCGATTGTGAGGGGTGTTGCGTTAAGTGTATTGGTGCACAAATCAGCACAAAGCCATAGCATTAGTGTCTTGTGGATACGTGAACAATGGTTTTCTAGTATTAAGTTGGATCCCCAATGGAAAATTTTGATTTTCTCGTAAACAAGAAGCGTACAACATTTGGAGATTGGCGGATAAGATAGCATAAAATGATCACAATATTTTGACGATGCAACAAATTTGGTTGCCGATTCAGGGGTGCTAACTTAATCCAGGCATTAAATATTGTCCCAGTCCGCCGAAAGTGTAATTTTGACTTTTGTCAAACCATGCTTGGCTTTAGATGTGCTTTTCATTGCGGTCAATTGTTGAAAATAGAGGCTAAGATCAAATACAATTTGGTAATTTACCATTCCTTCTTCTTCAACAAAGATCAATACTCCACCGCTCCATCTAATTTTTGATACTTATCGAGAGAAGTACAGTTCCGTACCCTACTCTACCTTGAACCCTGACTATAATGGTAAAATGTAATCCATCCCAACTCCCCCATGGAACAATTTTTTCGTGAAATTATCGAATTTTATATTACATTCTAACAATTTATGTTGAGAAACAAACTTTAGATATCCTTAATTAACTTGTCTTAACCCCCGATGGCGATCGTAAAATGTAATCAATCTCTACCTTTTGAACTGTAACTTTGGCTCTCATTCTCCAAATTAAAATTTGCGCAGCTTCTAATAGGAAACAATTTTTCGTGATGAGATCCAAAATGTTGGAGGAAATCTTAAATACAATTCCCTAATTTATTTTACGCTCGATTTTACGTTAACCACTGACAACGGTAATACAACACAATTCTCGTCCCCTAATGAAACAATGTTGTCTGTAAGGTGTTACCTTTAACCTACATTGCTCAGTTTCTTAAAAACGATTTTTGTTGAGACACAAAATTTTACGCAAAACCCAGAGAAGAACAACCCTTAATCGTCAACCGACCGCGATCATAAAGCGTTAATCCACCCGTAACCCTAAAGATGTAACGTTAACTTTCATTTACAGAAATCGATTTTTGATATTTAGGGACAAATACTAGACGAAAACCAAATTTTTCAAACTACCCTCCCTTATCCCTCGAGATTATAAACGCGAACAACTTTGGGTTTCTTCTTTTGCATTGCACGTGGTCCATTTCTGTTGAGACAAAAATTCCTTATTCTACCGTACCTTAACCCCCAAACTGCGCTCATAAAAATTAATTCACCCCTATCCCTATCGGCGTAACAGTGTCTTCCATTTACCAAATTAAGCTTTGTGCTTGTAATGTTTCAGATCTAAAACTTAGGAGAAAACTCAAATGCACTTTCTAAATTTATTTTACATTAACCTATGACAATAATCATAAATTACAATGTACTCGACCCCCTAATAATATAATTCTTTTCTTGAAAGTGTCATATTTTACATTGCGAGCAGTTTTAAATAACACGATTTTTGCCGAGACAACATTTAGACCTAATAACAATTGTAAATCACGCGCGGTTTCTAATAAATATTGACATTTCGTGAGAGAGAAGAAAAACGCAAATTAATCGACTTAACCCCCAATTCTCTTTCTCTTAAGACTGTGGCAGTTCTCCATTCTTCCCGATCTTCAGCCAACCTTTTCAGTGCCAAGTGCCTAACCTGGGTCTTCCCCTAACATTAGTACCTTCCACAGCACCTTCCAGTGATGTTTTTAGCACACCTTCGTGTCTTAGAGAGTCTAACTTCTCCAACCCTCCTCAATACCTCTTCATTCTCATTTTGTCCACCGAGGGAATCTTTAACATTCTTCGTTAACATCGCATTTCTAGTGCCTCTACCCTTTTTTTGTCAGTCGTCCCAAGTGTCGCAAGTCTTCCATACAACAAAACGCTCCATATAAATGTTTTTATCACATGTTTATAAGGTGCAAGTCAATATTGTTGGAGGTAAACAGTTTCCTTTCGCCCATTTCCTCCGAGTCCACTTCTCATTCCCTTTCCGG